AAGTTCAAAACCCAAAAATACAACAAACACATAATTTTCACATTCAGAAGGACCGCGGGTAATTTTAGCAACACCACCTTGTAAAAATTCGCCTTGTGCTGCACATTTTACAAGTGAAACTTCGCCTTTGTGTGTTCTTTGCTGGTTCTTTGCGCCGCCCGGTGTTGTCAGTGTTCCGGTGTTGCTGGCGTCATTGCGTCACTGAGTTGTGACAATCGGTATCGGCGCCAGTAAATCAGCTCTCGGTATCAGCGCAAGGGCGCGGCGCCGCACTGTGTTACCCACGGCTAATAAATGCTTTTAAGCATGCAATGTTTTTAATATCGCCCACGCTGAGTCTTGCTCTGCAATGTGGGACTTCATAAATAGGCCAATTTCATCAGTTAACTATCAACGGCAAGCCCAAGCCAGGAACAGACGCACTACTTAATGAAATTTTAAGTAAGTAAATGTATGATTTTTCACTTAAACTTGCCTTTCAGACGCCTTATAATTTTCCTTTAATTTATAGTCGGGAAAGGAAACAAACATCGAAGAAGCTGCGAATCTGCCAAGTACCTCCACATAAAAACATTGCAAAACATTTTATTAAAGAAAAACGCTTAAAATTAGGAATAAAATCAAAATAAAAGTGTTGTGTTATAATTCGTCTTATGTTTTTTTACAGTGTGGTGAATGAAAGCAAACGAAAGTTCTACGAAACAACCGCAGTTTTTAGGAAAATAATTTCGTTAAATATACGAACTATTTTGTGCATTTTACAAAAATTTCGTAAAAAATAAAGAAATAGTACGAATTTCTTTAGTAAGTAGTACGAAATTCGTTCGTAAACTGTACTGAGATCTCATATATTCGTAGTATGTACGAAAACGGTTTTTTCCAATCAACGAAAACTTTCGTGGCTTCGTTATATTTACGCAGATTTTATTTTCAGTGCAGCACAATAAAAATTGTTCCAGATTGGTCCATTTGCGGCAATCGCGGGATCTTAGCTTAAGAGCCTATCCAAAATAATTTTCACACAATAGTAGTGTTTATGCCTTAAATTAACACATATTTTCATACAATATGCATGCAATTATTGTTTAAATATTCAACTTTATATGTTAAATTAATTAAAATGGTGTTAAAATCACTTGGTTAATTGTAACTGCGCACAACTCCAAAGGCCAATTATGAATACCTTTAGCCATAACTTTCAATGGTAAAGCAACAAAAGAATATTTTTCAAAAGCAAAAAAAAAAATGAAAAGTCACAATGGGGTGTCATTAGCCTTGCATTTGCAGGTGTCACTGCTCGAAGTGTGGGCTCCTTGCTTTGTTGTTGTTTCGCTTGATTTATGAACTGCGAATGCCTAGTTAATAAAGCACCCACAATGAATAAGCAAATACATAAATAACCATAGCTTATGAACATGGATGCAGCTCGATTTTGATTTATTGCTATAATCTTAATGTCAACACTTTTATAATTGAAAGCTGAAGTTTTATGTAAGTTTTTCTTATCGCTGCTTGAAGTCTTCGGCGTTTTATGTTATTTTATTATTTGGCTTGAGCTTTGTTGCAATTATGTATTTGCATAACATAGCGAGTATGCAAATAAATATATACATATATATGTATGAATGTGTGTAAATTACAGCGAACAACCTTACAGTCAAACAAAAAAAAAATCGTCTTATACCTCCGAGCGTAAAGAATTTATGCAAGGTAATTTCGAAAAAAAAATAAAATTTGACGAACCTAGGCTAAGCCTTTACATATTTTTGGGCAGCGCCTACCTACGTCAAAAAATATTTTTTTAAATGGTACTACTCAAATAATCAAAATACTTCTTTAGTAAAAGTTTAGTAATTTTTTGCGAGCTTTAATTTGCTTACATTAGGGTGGTACGTAAGGGTGATATGAACTCAGCTTTTTTGGGTAAGTATTAGAATGTGGTACTTGAGGTCAATGAACTTTAAAGCAAGAAAATTTTCTGCTCGGGAAAAAAACATCGATATATCATAGTTTAGGATCCGACTGTATGTTCCAAAGGTATGACGAAAAATTTAAAAAAGCGACCCTTACGTTCGAAAAAAACTATTTTCTTTTTTGAAATTGCCTGGCAAAAATTCTTTATTCTCAGGGGTGCCCGGCAAACTTTTTCTTCTCACACGGTCTAATACATACACATTGTTGCAGGTGTACAACTTCAGAGCAGCAGAGAATGCGTACCGCAGTGCGTATGAGTAACATTCAGAATTTCTAGTGAAAGTTATCTACCGTCAAGCAACATCGTTATTCCCATGATTATGTACGAATGTGCATATGTTTTTACGTTTATATTCTTTACATTTCTAAATCACCTTTTTCTCTTCCTTTCCTTACTCTTTCTCTCATTTTTGTCGGAAATGATTTCAAGTTCAAGTTTGCATTTGTTGCGTTGCCTTAGGAAAGCAAGGCAGCCTCAAATGAAAGTGTAATTGATACGAGTGAGTAAAAGTTGTTTGTCTCACTGCGCGCTGGTGTTGTAAGCTAACAAAACGTATAACCATTTGTTATGGTCAAGACCGCTAGCTAATTACTATGTTGTGTTTTTTTTTCTCTTATCTTTTTTCTAAGTTTTTATATCTTTGCCCTTACTTTGTTGTTGCGTTAGCTAATTTGACTTTTATGTTTGACTTTGATCTGGTATTTCCCCACTTCCCGTCATTTGGGTCATTCAGTGTATGTACGTACGTATGTACGTATGTACGTTTGCATTCACAACATTCATAAATTTGCTTGTTTTCTTTGTTTGCTAGTAAATATGAATACCCCTCTATCTATGAATGTATGTATGTATGTATATGTACATAAATGCAGTTATAGTTGCGATCGAATAGCATTTACGGTAATTGCCTTGATGCGGTTATATGTAACTGAAGCAAGGCGGCCAAACTCGCTTGCATATTGTTGATTTATTATAAGTATTTGATATTTTACGAGTAAATTTATTGAGCGATCATTTGTTATTGTTGCGGCGCTTATTCGCGATAATAATAATAAGTATTCATTCTTTAGCTTTTATGCATTTTGAAGGAGATACATACATATGTACATCTGTATGAAAATAAGTATAGAGATTTTTACAGAGAAATATAATTTGTTTTTAGATTTTTAAATCCAAAATTTATATTAGAGATAACTTCCTTAAAATTTAAAAAAACTTAACTTTTCTTTTCTTTATTTTAAGTAAGAAATACTGACTATTACTTGAATTTTTTTTAAGTTTGCATGGTATTTTTTTGATCATAAGAAAATAACCGGTAATGTTTGCTTTTCAGTTTTGGGCATTGATAAAAACCGAATCTTTCGGGATTCTTTGTGTTTCACTTTTCGGAATTTTTTCGGGACTTTTGGTATTTTTTTGTTTTTTTTTTTCATAGGAATTCTTATGTAATTTTATGCTTAACTCCTTCTCCTACAAAAACATATTGGACAAAATACTTGATTGGGTGCACAGAACAGATTGTTTTTTAGTGGACAGCAGTGTTGATATGTGGAAAAAATCGCTTGTTTCTAGTCGCTCGCAGCCTTGGCCAGTTCCTCTGTTCCAGATACCTTACAAACAGCGAATGATGGTTAGATTAGTTATAAGAGCTAGTATTTTAAAGGACTTACAGCCAGTTTCACCAAATTATTTGTAAAAGAAACAAATGAAATAAATATCCAAAAGGCTAATATTAAAAACGTTTTCTTATAAAAAAAAAACGGTCCAAAATGGAACCAGTTAAAAACTAGTTCCAAACTAATGCACACCGCCACCGACACCGCCAATGACATCGCCATGTAAAATCGGACAGTTTAAAGCATTGCTTGGGTATTGAGCTAGAAGTAGTACTGTCAGCAAAAGGTCTAGTTCTACGCAAGTTTTGGGCTAGTCAGATTTTCTGCAGGGTCGCTACTTTGTGTGGCCGGCATTGTAATAAATCAAACTTTCCAACTTTACTCAGAATTTACAAAGAAAAAAACTCCACACGTTTTTATCTAAATTTTGAGCTTTTTAATCAGAATTTTTATAAAATTTTTGGGTACGCTGCTACCAGACTTATACACATTTGAAATATGTAGCAAGTCTTATTAATCCATTAAAAAATATTTCGCTAATGACGCAGCTTTGAACTCTATTTTGCCACTACAGAAATAGCCAAGTGCCAGCATCTGTTGGCTGCTAAATTTCAATGTCAGCTGTGAAAATACATATATTTTAGTATTGTATTCCTTTTCTGCTGCATTTGTTAAGTTTTTATTTTCTTACGTTAAAATTACTGTGTGCACTTATCGCGCGGAACAGGTCACGTTCTTGCCATTTGTGTGCGCATGTGATTTTATTTAATTTAAATTAACTTAATAAAAACTTTTTTAAGTGCATATATCCAATACTTTGCATACTAAATATTATCAACCGATCTAATTGGATATCTACATACATATAAAAACATACATATGTATGTACATATGCAGCACATACAAATATCAGTTCGACGGACTGCTGGAGTTGAAGTTTGAGTTGGAGTTGGAAATGTGACAGAACGTCAAAGCAACACGCCAACGCTTTGTCATACAAATGCATAAGCAGCCGATGGAATTGGGTCAATTCGTGTTTGAATGCGCAAAAATTCTTGCAAACAAACTCGTCTAACCAAATACAATAAATTGCGAGTACCCATTTATGATAAATGCACCAGTGTCTCTTTTATCTTTATGACAAGCCTTACAAATTGTCGCTTACATATCCGATTACTTGTATGGATTAAAGTCATAAAGTTGACATGTGAGCGATTAGGGAATTACGCTTATGATTGAATGCCTTAATGCATTGGACGGACACGCACGCGCCCATGTGTTAGCCAAATACTAGTTAAATGAATATAATTTTTCTTTTAGTATGCCATTTAAATAGCAATTATATATGTAAATACACTACAATTTATGATTTATAACCATGTCGCTATGCTATTATCACTCCATTGCAGACCATCGCCAAGGACTACTGGTGCGCACGCCCAGACAATGCACCTGATATGGATGTGTCACTTTGGAAAAGTCTCAGCCAGCCAGCCGGTCCGTGTTCAATACTAAATCTCAATTACTCTCAGCTACCTGAACTTCCTACATCCGACGTGCCGGCGCAACTAATTAGCTGCAACAGCTTTGAATTCTCCAGGGAGGATGGCAGCGCACGTTCGGCTATTGAGGAATTCGGCTTGGTTTGCGGCCGCCAGCAGCTGGTTAGCGTTGTCGAAATGTGCTTCTTGGCTGGTGCGGCAGTGGGTAGTGTTTCGAGCGGATGGATTTCAGATCGTTTCGGACGCAAACACACTCTAATGATATTTGCGTTGGTGCAAATTGTTGGAGGTAAGTGGGGGGAATCAACTTGAAGTGGAAAAAACATTGCATATTTATTTAGGGGTCATAGTTTGCATAATGAAGTAGAAAATATGTACAGTTAGAGATACTACATAGCAAGGGAGCTAAAGCATAGCCAGTAGAGGCCACTCGATGTGAGATCAAGGTGGTTGGTCTGATGTGCGTATATTCTCTGCCGGATAAGAGGTCATTAGGAGTGTCTGTAGGCTAGCTCAGGCTAGACGTAAATCAGTTGTCTTAGAAATAGCGCACTACACAGAGACCCAATGTAATGTTGGAGGAATAATTTATCATCCCAAATTTCCTATAGCTAACTTAAATAGACTCGGGAAAATCTAGGTTAAGTTAGGTTAGCGTACTGCCTACGCAGATGGAGGCCCACTTAGACTCGACTAAGCTGTCCGTTGGGATGCCCTTAAGAGGGGACAGGGAAAATGACGCAGGCAGGCCGAAAGGTGAGGGGGAGGGAAGGAAAAAAGGGAGGCACCTAAGGGAGAATGACGACAACTATGGCTTTTTTCGAGATCATTCAACTCTTAAAACAATGTTTTTAATATCTCTTATGGCGCTAAATCGAGTAAGTACTGCGGAACGGCGAAGGGGCTATTTCGTGGTAAACTCCAACTCATCACCTCAGTAGCTTACTCAAAAGTTCTTCCAAGGAACAACTAATCCGTCTGCCCGTTCGACTATCAAGCAGTAGCCGATAAGCACAGATTTCACATGACTCAGATTGGTCAACGTCTTGCTTTTGAGCTGTTTATTTTGAAGGTGATATAAGTAATTTCCTACATCTTATTCTTAAATGGCGGGTACTTCTAACTGAATGTAAATTAAGTTAATTACTCTGGCAAATAGATTCCACCCGCTGTTTCAGCGCTTCAGTTGCAGAGGGGTTTTCTTTATTTAGAAATGTTCAGGCCTTTTCCCGCAATACCTTGCATCTCGTGGAGCTCAGTATCAAGCATAGTCGTTCCATGATATGTTGATTCGTCAGCTTTATAGATGCCCGCCAACTTAGCAGTCGGTGTCAGTGTGACAGTCTCCCCTCCTATCTCATTGATAGATCAGCGACATGTTCCCACAACTTAAGAGACTTGCATAGTGAAGATCGCTAGGTATTTCTGAAAATCCTACCACACCGTACTAGTTTTGCGGTCTTGTAAATAACCACCAGCTTGGCCAGGAAAACAGCCGAAAAAAGTAGTATACCCAGGTTCTTCATTGTCGAACCATTTGCTTGGGTAAATGTACGTCGGATTTTATGTATGTCTTTAAATCGGTCATCAAGCTGGCACTGGTCCATCAGCAGCAGTAAACTCAAAAGACGAAGTTCTCTGAGTGGTGAGCTCACTGCTGGATGTCACAGAATGCTCGGTGGACCCGTGTCGTCCACCCGGTATTACCAGAGGGCACCCGAATGAAATAAAAGCGGTAATACCAGGAACCTTCGTTAATTACTTTTTGGCATTGTTGTGAAATAAAAAGGATCCAAGGCTGTGGGAAATGCCTCAAAAATGATGTGACGGAACAATGCTCAGCATGAAGCAAAATTATCGGCCGAAATAATTTGTAGATCGGAAATTTTAAAGCGTGATCTCTTATAATAAAAGAGAGCGTAGGACTGACCGCTCATCGAAAAACAACCTTCCTAGGATCTTTAGGGCATTCTAAAAAATTCCAAAGCAACGGTTTTCTCTTTGGTGTCTTTCTCCGAACTCTGCTTTACTGTACAATTCCGAGTAGGTTCAGACTGAAGTATACTTCTAAGAAGGGGCTTAAAAAGGTCAAGGAATTTGGGCTTCAAAGACTAGAGAACCACTGCTGTCGCGATTATCAAGGCATCTGTCAACAGCTTTATGTGGTCAATAAATGACCGAGGCAAACATTCTAGCGAGGCAGCAACATTATGGGCGGTTCCATTTCCCGACGTAGACGCAGAGTAAAGCGCTATTGTGCGCCTAAATTTTTGGCGTTAATAACTTGCGTTAATTTTGATTCGCACAATTGTAATGAATTTATTTCATTACTATTTTCTACTTTAAATATATACATATTTTATCTTTGTTTCCATTATCAGGTGCGTTACAAGCTTACTCAGTGAACCTGGCCATGTACATGACGATGCGTACTCTAACCGGTTTCGCATCGATGACAGTGACTGTGGTGAGTTTCGTACTCGTTGTAGAGCTGGTCTCGGGCAAGTGGCGTACCATCACTGGTATCTTGAATATTCTACCTGTGCCAATTTCCTATATTCTTATGGCTTGTATAGCATACTTCGTACGCGATTGGCGACATTTACAATTGGCCATTTCACTGCCATGGATAAGCCTATTGACGATTTGGTAAGTAAAATTTTAAGCAATTTTTGTCAAACTCTTATGCCGAGTTTCCACAAGGTTGAGCATCAAATAACATATCATAACTTTAACAGTAATTGTCATTAGGGCTCTTTTCGCGTGACAATTTTTATTGCTCTCGCATTTCGAAGCCCGATGAAAATTTGGTATAAGAATTAAGAAAAAAATATTTAAATTGACTTAAAACTTAAACAAGAGTTTTTTCAAATAACTTCGCTTTAAAGATTGTGGAATAGAACTGCTAATGCAAGTTCAATAATATGGATAGCGATATTTAGGAATATGAAAAAAGTAAAGCACTGATTTGTGCAAGAAATCTAACTCTGAAGGAGCAGATTTCAAAAACTAAAAGTCGTGTTTAAGCGAACAACAAAACCGACTTCAATTTTTAGAGTATCGCTAATTTTTTAAGATCCAATGATCGGATCTAAACCAAACTATTATAGGACCACCTCTAAGGTGCCACCTTTTTTTTATAAAAATCGGTTAACGTGGTCCGAAGTTATGCGGTAATATACATAAAAAAAAAGATTGCGGCGAATTTATAGCCTCCTCCTTTTTTTAAGTCAGTTAAAAACTAAGTGTCTCCAAATTTTTTCAAAATATGAAGAAGTCAGTTTTAAACCTTTCTTTTGTAATGTAATCTCGTCGGGTTTCGCAGCTACTTTGCAGCACATACCCAAAAATGTTAAAAAGGTTATGCAATATTTGCATCAAACGTTAAAATTTTGGTAGTAAACATATTTTGGGCTGGGTTGCCACTAATAAGACAAAGAAATTACTTTAATGTGTATAATAATACACATATTAAAGCAAAGGTAAAAAATATTATAAAAAAGAGTTGCCACCTATTTTAAAATATTAAAATAAGTGCTTTGAAATTAACTCATTCGACATATGGAGCAAAAATAAACACTATTTTTTTTTTTAATATTGTAAAGCCATTTTATTAATAAAGACATGTTTTGGATTACCGTTTCCGTGTAATTGCCTTAAAACTAAATCAATGAAATTAATTGTTGGTAGAAAATATCCAAAAATCTGTAAAATGCGTGTAATGGTTTTGAACATTTTGAAAAAAATATATATATTTTTAAGAGGGTCGCCAACTAATAAGCTATAAAAGAATAAACAATATAACACCTTCATGAGTAAATTATTACTGCTTTCTAGATAAAAAAAAAAAAGTTTTTAAGTGCCCAGTCACGCAATTGTGTAACTGATGTTTCGATAGAAATCATCAACATTAATGTGTACGCACTTGCCTTAAGTGTAGTAATTTGGCGAAAATAAGTAATTTACGCTGCAATATTAGCATCGTTTAGGTAAGAGTTCTGAAATGCCGGTCCATTTAATGCTTGACCAAGAACAAGTTAAGGAGAACTAATTCAACTTATTTCTTACATTTATATGCATTTACGTTTATGACATCCTAATGTAATTTGTTTATCTTGTACGAGTTCAATATATTTCTATAATCTGCTACTTAGGCCTTTAATTTGATTATCAATAAGTCGCCTTCGCTTTGTCAAATCGACCTTAACCCTTTCTTTGTCAGCATTTTTGACCCTATTTGTATCTGCTTGAATAATTTGGAATGTGCGCTTTAAGTATTTATGCGCTGATGTACATATGTATGTATGTATATACATATGTATGTATGTAAACCACACTGTCATTTGATCTCCTATTTTGTGGCACAGCGTCCCTTCTATTTGAAATTGAAATCAATTTCATTTCACCTCCAATGGGGTCATCAAATAACAATGAGGAGTGTTGCTTTGCTGCTTTACTGCGCGAGCACGACATTCCTGTGGCGTTTTTTACATCTGACAGATTTTTTTTTTGCTTTCTAACATTCCACAACAAAGTATCCTTTAACCACTCTCATAAGGATGTTTAGTTCTCAAAAAAGGTGCACATAATATGTATTTGCCGCTATATAAATTCACTGATATATGTATGTATGTATCCTTAGTCCTTTCGGTTCATTGGAACCTTCTGCGCATACCACACATACATACATATGTACATGCAAGCCACCGGAATACACATTGAGTGCTTTTGCTTTTTCAGCCGCAATCAAATCAAAATTCCACATCAATTCAATTTATTTTATCTGTTTTTTTTTCTCCCTGTAATGTCTCTATTGCTGTTGTTATTGCATATGGGCATTTCCAATTTCACGTGACGTGAGATTTGTATGACAAAATGTAAAAAAAATAAATAAAATGAATAATTAAACATTTTTAAAGAGGGGTTTTTTTTTAATTTGCATAGCAATTAAAAAGCTCTTTATTCAGTAAAATAAATGACAACTGTTCGTAACGCTGGCGTAATGTTACATAACAGAGAAGTATGTTTTGACTTGCATAACTATTAGACACAAATTTTTGTAAAGCTAAACATTTTCCTGTTTTTGTCAGTGGATGAAGTTACGTTACTAAAATTTCCATTGAACAAATTTAGTTAATATTGTTTTTAAACTAACTTTTAAAGCGAATAAAATATGCAGTTTTGTCGAATATAATTTTAGTTTTGACTTCAGCGCCACCTAGTGGCTCGCCTTTTTGCAAATCTATATCTTACAATCGGAGCATAAAAATATCTACACTCTGACAGCACCCAGCATACAATTTTTCACAAACATGTTTCTTCTTTCATAACCAGTATTTATGTATTATAATAAAAGAAACCCAGCCAAATAAGTTGGGTCGATAAATAAGTTCGACATATGTATGACTATTATTTTTTTCGCGTTCGACTTTCTACTGGAAATGCCCATATGTTGGCTGTGCGCACTTTTTTTTTTATGTTGGCTCCCCTGTGTTTTTTATTGTTGTAATATTCATTTAATTCTCAGAAAAGGCCAAAAGAAACAAAATGTTTAATTTTTCTGCTAATGGGAAGCTAGTGCTTGCGAGCTTATAGTTACAGAGACTACTTTGAGGCATACACATCGGAGGTGGATAAACTTTTGCTAAGGAAGTATTTGGATTATTCCAGCACAGCTATTTCAAAAAAAAAAAAATTAATAAATGTCATATATGTAGCACACGATTGCCATTACCAACTCTGGTAGATGTTTAAATTCGATTAGTGAAATACTGGGGAGGACTTGTGGAGATATACATTGGGTTTGACGCGAAATAAATACAGAGTAGACGGACTTACCACAACTGGAGTTCAGAGTTTTTATTTTTGGTTTTTAGTTAACTTTCATTATTACGATTTTACTTTCTTTGTTTCATTGTACTCTATTTTTGCTAGGAGCCTTTTTAAATATTTTTTTGCTACATATCTCTCACATCCTAACTTCTCGCTCCACAGGTATTGCATGCCGGAATCACCACGCTGGCTACTCGCACAAGGTCGCCTCAATGAACTCTATTCGCTAATCGAACGCGCTGCACGGCTTAATCACCGCACACTGCCTGTCAACTATCAAAAAACATTAGAAGCTGCTGCACCGCCACCATCAAGCAACATCTCAGAACAAAAGCTTGCCATAGAAGCGAATATTGACAAAGTACAACAACAACAACAACAACATACACTGGCGCCCTTCACCGCCGGACCGGAAGGAGGTGCCAGTACTATTGGCGCGGTTAAACCTAGCATTGCCGAAGCTATTCCCACCACTCATGACAATCCATTGAAAGTGGTTTTTAATCGATTTTATTGGCGCACAACTTGTCTTAATTTGGTTGTTTGGTTGACTTTGATTATCGTCTATTATGGATTGACATTGCATTTGAGCAATTTGGGTGGTGATATCTACTTGAATACGGTGAGTACAGTGGCAAGGGTTGGGTAATAATGAGTGCGAACATAAGATGATAGAAATCATTTAACAAAAAAATCATAATCATATTAAATAATAGCACAACTGGGTGTTATCGATTATATTTTTATAACGATAAAAAGTGATGTCGTTAAAAACGGCCTAGTTATATATAAGGCGTTATCAAGCATATCGATAATTACTTTTAAAAGTATATTGATAGAAATATCTTACAATATCGATAACAAATATCGATAAATATGTCGATTAAAATATGTGCGATAATTACATTACTGCTGTCAGCGAGGATGAGCTAGATCTGCTTTAGCAGCAGATCAATTTCTAAATTTATAGGGATCTGATCAGGGCGATCAGAGCTCCAAAACTATGATTTTCGGTCTGAGAAAACAAATGGGGTCCTGGGGGGAATAAACACGGTTTTACTAGGATGGGTACCGGTGCACGATGGTATTAGGAGCCAAATCCACAATTTTTAGAATTTTTGTCTGTCTTCGAATACTAAAGCAAGGAATTGAATGCAGTTTTGCCGATGCATTGCTAAAGGTCTAACTGAAAATATAGGAAAAAATAATTAGAGAGTTGCCATCTGTTTGAAAATTTCAGTTTAAATAAATTGATAAGGTAAATACTGCAAAATGGCTGTTAAAAAGAAGAGGTTTAAGAAGGCTTACAGCGAAAATATTTTCGGGTTTAGTTTTTTTAATTTGATTTAATTGTTAGGATAAATACAAGATTTCAATATGGAAAACAAATTACAGAGGTTTAGGAGAGTTTACTGCAAAAACTATTTTTGAGGAACGTTGCCACCTGCTTGAAAAAATGTGTGCAATTATTAAATTGGGAAATTAATGAAATATAACAAAACGGGTGTCAAACTAAAGAGTTAAGAAAGTTTAATGTCGAAAAATTTTTGTAGCAGACTACCAACTATTTGAAATATTTCATTCAGTTAAAGTGATAACATAAGGTATATACTGAATTAGTACATCTTTGAAGAAAGTGCACAATATGCAGGATCAAGTTATAAGATTAAAAATAAAATTTAACTGAGCAAACGAGAGACTATGTAAGAAAAAAATATGCATATATATGTATCAGGGCTAGAGACACTTTTTAGGAATAGTGGCTTGCTTGAATTCTATTTTCTATTACTTCCATTATTATCACGAAACTCTTAAGTCGATAAAGCCCAAGTTAAAAAGAACTTAGCCTTAAGAAGAAAATAGCTTTCCTGTTAACAAAAATTAATAACGCATAAACTTATTTTTATTGATAATACAGGAATAACTATTTAAGTAAGTTCATTCAGCAGAATTTTCATTCGATTTAATTCACAATTAATCTCACTTGCGCTTAAATACAAAAAAAAAAAAAAACAAATTATTATTAAAAATATAATAACTTACACCAACTTTTTATCTCTATCACACACAGATTGTCGCCGGTGCCGTTGAGGCGTTCTCAGTTTGCATTAGCATTTTTGTGGTTTTGAAAGTTGGCTTGCGGCGTAGTCTCATCGCTTATATGCTTGTGCCAGGTATTTGTTGCTTAGCCACAAATCTAGTGCCAACGCGAGATGACAACCAAATGATAGTAGTAGCAATGGCCATAATTGGTAAGTATTTTCCCAAAGAACAATAAAAAATGCATGCATTATGCGTACGCATGCACAACATATGTACATATGTATGTACATTAGACCGAACCAGAAAAAAAAAGTTCGCCGTATACCTCTGAGTCTAAAGTAATTCTGCAAGGCAATTCCGATTTTTTTTTAAATAGTTCCACCAAAATAATTGAAATACTTCCTTAGCAGAAATTTCACCCCGGAACACTAATCATATTTTTAATACTTGTATTTAGCATTGATTTTTTTTTTTAGTTTTAAAGCAACAATCATCAAAAAATATTCTATATGTTATTACCAGACTTGGGATTTAAGGCGCTCAAAACTTGAGAAAAGGAAATTGAGCTTTCAAAAAAGGCATTTATTTTTTAATTTTGTTATATACATACCTTTAGTACCTTTAATTTACTGATGTCAGGGTGGTTCGTTAGGGTGATACGAATATCAGGTGGTTGAGTACTAAAACCGGGTGCTTAAGGTCAGTGCACTTTGGAACAAAAACATAAAAAAATTGTCTCCTCGGGACAAAAACATCAATATAACATACTTTAAAAACCGACTGTAAATGCCGAAGAAACAACGAAAAATTTAAAAAGGCGACCCTTACTTTTAATAAAAAATACTTTTTTTTTCGAAATAACCTTGCAAAAATAGTACTTTAAACTTAGGGGTGTACCTTTTTTATGGTAGGTACGTTCTAATGTACTTACATACACACATGCATTCATAAGAGCAACACCTAAGCGTATACGTAACATAGAACGTAATCGCCATTCATTGCATCCGAAATGTTACTCATACGACCCCTACTAACCTCTGCTTCTTTTCACCTCTCGCTTTTTTTTTTTTTTTTTGATTTCAACATTCGACACTTTCAGCGAAATGCGTTATTGGCGCCAACAATGCCATCATTCCATCATACACGGCCATGCAGTATCCGACTGTGGTGCGCAATTTTGGCGTTGGTTTGGGCAATCTGGCGGCGGGTGTTGCGCTCATTTTGGTACCCTACATGTGGCTGTTGGTGAGTGTGCCTTTTAACTAATTTGTAGTATAATTATATTCAGATTTATTGGTGCAAATACGAATTCGCCGCTTTCTTTTATTTCACTTTGCAGGAACATGTAGATCCGCTGCTGCCAATGAGCATAATGGGCGTGTGCGGTATTATTGGCGGTGGTTGTTTGTACCTCATGAAGGACATTGAGCATTGAGCGTATAGAGGAAGGAGCGTGTCGAAGTGGCGCTTTTATACGAGTAAATATTTAACATTGTGTGCATAGGAAGCACATGCAATTTCAAAAGTGAGCAACAACAACAATACGAATTGTAAAAAAAAAATGTTAGGCAATGATAACAATTTTGTTGCTGTTCAAACTGTGATAGTCGTTTTTGGAAAAAATTGGAGAAAGTTGCAATTTTAGCAAATAGCTTAAGTGAAAAACTAAAGTTATTGAAATAAATGACAAGACCATTCGATATTATATGTAATATTGTATTTTAAAGAATTATGTATAGCTGTGTTCAAAATAATAGCTGCATACTTACTACATTTACTTTTAGTTTAATATAGAAAAAACAATGTACATATGTATGTACATTAAAGGTAAAACAATTTATATTTAAAACCTAGTTTTTAAGAAGTACTTAAGAACTTAAGTAATATAAAAGTGATTTAGCTTCATTTTTTCGCACAAGTATGCCCACATTTTATATTTTCGTGCAGTAAGCAGCACCAAGTATTACCATTTATGAGCGTTGCCACGACAATCGGGTCCACGTAATCGTAATGACTCATACTTTTGTATCTGGCCAAGGACTGTCACTCCGGCATTATTCCTCGCAAACTCTTTGGAGAATTTGCATGCTGCTACAACAATAACAGCAATAACGACAACCATTCATGTACTTATTTCTGCACATTTAAAAGAACAACTTAAGTCCAGCTCGGCCTGTTTTTTTCTCTAAAGTGTTAAATCGTTGACTTTCTATCCGATGTTTAAAGTTTAAACTTACCGTATTTGTAGTTTATCATTTAATTTTATAAAAAGTTGAATAAATGTAAAGAAAACTTGTTTACGAAAGTTTATTATTTTTATAGATCAATAGTTAAAATCAAAGCTTATGTGTATGTAAATTGGATACTAAATTGTTTGTTCAAATGTCCACAGAAATGTAATAAGAAATACTTTCAGATTCGTCAATACGTTTAGGTAAATGTATACATCATAATTTTATCAACTAATCTTAAATTTAGAATCCTGAGAAAAAAATAGCTGACTCCAGTAATTGCGTTTTTTTTTTTATAAACTAACGTACATATCTGTTCTCGAAAAAAATATTTTTTCGATAAAAAATTGTTAATTTATTATTTTGATCCTTTATGATCTAAAAAATTTTACCTGAAAATAACGAAAATCAAATCTCTAAAATATTAGTTGCGATTCCGTACGAGTCCGGACTAGTCAGAAATAGTCAGAATCAGTCAGATTTTACTAGAAATCGATCCCGTACTCGGTTCTCTGACTATTGAGAGGACAAAAAAGAGAGTAAAAAAGGTCCTCTCTCTGTCAAAAGTTACCAATTTTAGTGCGAAGATTTTTTGCTGGAAAGCTCTGGTAAATGTGTCAAACAATCAGCTGTAGCGTGTTTGGCAACCAAATTGTAAACAAAAGAAAGGTGCACTCTGCTCATGCATGTTGAAAAGTATTTAATTACTTGTTTAAGTGGATTTTCATCAATTTGAAAGTATTTTTGGTTATTTATATGTGTGAGCTGAGTGTGTTTACGTAGAAAATAAGCAAAAATTTACAACCAAAATTTGGAGGTTATGTTGAAGTTGACAGAAGTTACCATTTTTTGCTAGAAAGCGATCCCGTACTTTCCAATGTTACTCTCTCGCTCTGAGCGAATTTTTCTTTTTTGACAGTTTTACTAGTTTTAGACCGAGGAATACGGGATTGCACCTATTGTTTAAATTTGATCGCAAAAACATAAATCCAATTTTGTCGGTTAAATTTTGATTCTTATTATAAGGAACATAACGGTTGCAGTCCCTACTTTCAATATTTCAAGCAAGAAAACTGGATAATCAGACAAATGCTCTTCCACGATTGTGTCGTTTAGGATAAATGGAAAAGCAGTGAATAATTTAACAGACAAAACAAAAATATTGTAAAATTTTTTTTTTGTTTTTCTTTATATTTCAGGTTTATTTTAACAAAGAAAATTCGACTAGAAATTGCCGAAAATAACGTTAAAAATCTAATTTAACTGCCGTTTTCACCAGCAGTTTAAGAGAAACATGGCTTTTCCCTCTGTCAGTTTTCCTAATAAATTCAATTAAAAAAAATATTTCTCACTTAAATTTCTTTCGTGAAACGGGCTACTAGATTTGTTGGAAATTTCATGCAATCGAAATACATAAAAACAAAAAATACATATGCACATTAAGGTGGTTTTTAAAAATTTCCAAAATCTAAATTTTTTATGGGGCATACACATAATAAATAAAAAACTTGTCAATGGTCAGAGAAAAAGCGTATTGGTTTTTTTGTATGAAATATGAGCACGAAAGAATGTTACTCATACGCCATGTATGAGTATGATATTTTTAAATGTTTTCCCTATTAAAATTTTACTTTTTTTCATTCACAATGCAAACTTAATATGAAAATGTCTTAGGAAAATTATTTGGTCTAGAAAAACTGCATACATATCCGTAATCTACGACCCAAAATTTGTCATTTTAGCGAATGCGCCACCAGTTTATCGATTAGACTTTTTCTACAACATTCTCCGCTTAAAATACGAATTATTAAAGAACGTACATACGTAAGTTCAGATAAACCGGATACATGTACACCAATATATAATAGTCCATTTAGTTTACTTTAAACTTAAAAAAGCTTTTTAAAATATCTACAAGTAAATACACATGTACATATATACAACTAAGTAAATATGTATGCCCGTTTTCCGTTTCCTTTTCAAAGCTTCCGTTATAAAAAGCTTCAACCATTTCCAGCACCATTACTTTCTGATAAGTTTCTGTGGAAAAGCTTAGTTGCCCATATTATACTAAGCGCAGAAAAAGCTTTAAGCTCTAGGTAAACTAAGCAATGTGCCTACACAGCCGCCAAAACAGAGGCACACATTTAAATGCAAAAGCATGTATGTGTGCTTATAGAGAAATTAAAGTAACTAAGTGCACTCAGCTCCCAAAACAACAGACATCGGTAACCGAAAGTTCCATTTTACTGAGATAGCAGAACAGCCAAAATACGAAAACCCGGGAATTGGGATTGTTTTTAAATTTGAATACTCATCACAGTCAGGAAAAGGGCTGTCTAAGGCGTATTCATACAAGGTGGTAGCCGCAGCCCAAAAATAAAAAATAAAAACTACACTAAAAAATGATTATTATCCATATTTGGGAATGGAGATGCAGTGAAGTCATCAGAAATCAAGTGACAAATATTCCCACCAGTAAATGAACTGAGCAGGCATTTAAAGGTCTACCATATAACTGCTTTAGGCAAAATTTTTATATCTGGATGCAGAAATCTCTTAGAAGCGCTTTACAAGATAAAAGTCCTCGCGAGGCCTCTTAACGATACGTGCATTAAAGATCTCAATACCCCCGTTAACTATTGGTGATACCTAATACAAATTTATGGCTTACAATTTTTGTCGAACAATTTAACCCTCTGGCGACGATTTTACCAAAAACAGGGTCAAAAAGATAGATTCTCAAAACAAATTTTAAAATAAATACGATTTGATGAATTTTCTCATAACCATGCACCGAATTCCAACTTAGGCAAAATCCCTTCCAAATAAGTTTCCTGAGTGCTCGTCTGCTCTGGTCACAAGGTATTTTGCTAAACAAGGGCACGATCACGTCGATAATGAAAGGAGTAAGGTTATGCGATGGAGGGAAAATACAATTTAGTACATTTACGTAAGGTTCATTTGCATACACATACATATCTTGTGGATTATTTAATTGTTTAAGTGCCCAAATTAAAGTTCGAAACTATACTTTCATTTCGATGAAAAAGCGATTCAAAAAAATACAAATAACAAATGTAACGTGAGCCAGTAAAACTCAAATAGTGTTGGCAATGCAATTAATTTAATTTACATGCGCATCTAACACGATGCGTTGACAATATTTAATGTATAAATGTTACGCATGCAATGTTAGGTGCATACGATGTGTGTAGGTTGTAAAAAGAAATCAAAGATGTGGTTACTTTTGTAACTACCATGCAGAAAAAACAGCAGAATATGGAAACAAATATGAAATGTAATAAAATAAATTAAGTTAATAAAAATAAAAAAATAAAATAAAAATATTTTGTTTTTCCTATTGATATTTTAAGTCCAAAAGTAGTTAGTTACAAGTTAGTTACATCAAATGCAGAGGTAAACCACCCTTGACTATTTCGCGGCCATCGCTATAGAAATATAGTTAGCTTTCATCAAAGACAATATATAGATAATAAGTGACTTTTAGCTTCTTCCTAATCAACTTAAAGTTAGCTTATAGTTAGATACATTTCCTGCAGGGTAACGAGCATATCTGTATGTATTGTACATTAGACCGTACCGGAAAAAAAGTTTATCGTACACCGCAGAGTCGTAAGATATTTTTGCAGGTCAATTTCAAAAAAGCGATTTTTTTTGCCGAACGTATGAATCGCCCTTTTAAATTTTCCATCACAACTTCAACATTTACATTCGTATCTTAAAGTATGAATAGGGGCGTTGTTTTTTTGCATTACTCTGGGTTCTCTTTCTTTTATTTAATCTCCATTATTTTTCAATCAAAACGAAAGTTTCAAACTTTGTAGAAAATTAAAAAAAATATCAAAATTTTAACCTTTTTGTCTGAGTACTTTAGAATTTTTTCGAGTATGCATTTTTTTAGCCACTTGTAGTATTTAAAATGAAACTCATGAAAAATACTAAAACTGGACTGCATACTCAAAAAAATACCTACAAATTCTTTGGAAAAGCCTAAAATTTGGTACATTTTTTTATTTCCTACAAAGTTTGAAACTTAAGCTCATATGATTTTTGTTAGAGAATGAACTGAAATTTAACTCAAAAATCGAAAAAAAGAAGAGAAAGAACCCAAAAGTAAAGCGAAAAAGAATTGTACCTATTGAGATATTGCCATCAATATTTACCAACTTCCCGATGAGCTAAATACTTGATACTTCAAACATGGCTCAGAACTCGATGGCAATGCAGATGAATTAATCCGCTAGGTGGCGCACGCGTCAAGATATTTGAAAACCCCTTATTTATCGTGCGATATGGTTCATGTTTGAACTGTATATCGATGGCTGAATGGAAGATCGACCTATCCCGACAGTCAGTTCGGAAACGCCTTCTCTCAAAAAAATTTTGAGC